ACTGGCCCTATATCCGAGCCTGTCCTGGGCCTACTTCGGTCTTGGTGTTCCCCACTCATAAGTGGTGTCAGCCCCCCTTTGTAAAAGTCACACGGGCCTGCCCCAAACTCTAGGCCGGGAGGCCCATCTCCGAGCCCTAGGCCCGCACCCTTCTCCTCTTAGTGCCGAGTCCCCCGCATAGGCCCGATTCCACCGCTTATTCACGCAGGGTGTCCTCGAGAATCTGGTTACTCGAGCCAACTTCGGACACCGTCACCGCTCAAAGCGCCCGTAGCCTCACGATAAACGCCCGGAGCCTCCATTCCCTTGACCATTTTGTCGGCCTCTAGTGTCATCTCGACCTTTCACGGCCATACCCTCTCGTCCAACCCCTCGACAGTTGTCCGCTGTGATAGCCTCTTTGTGTTCGTCGGTAGCTTTCGTCTTAGGTCCTCTTCGCAAAAATACCGTTGTTCAACGCTCAAGCCCGTTTGAACTGAGTGTCGCAGGCCGGCCGCTCGTTCCGTCAACCTGTCGTGGCTTTTTACCCGTGGTCGGTGAGCCCCTGTCAGGTAGAAACCAACAAATAGAAACCTTGTAGCGCGCCCTTGTAGGAGAAGTAAAGGGCGGCGTAGGGTTGGAGCCGCCCAACAACAGTAGGGGTATATTGCAAAGATGGGGGTCCAACCGGCGCCAGGGGTATGTCAGAAAATATTTATTTTGTCAGAGGGGCATTTCGCTGTACCCACACCTTTTAGTGGCATTTTGGCATATATCTCAACTTCTGGGGGTATTCTGCAAATTATCGCAAAAGAAAAAGGGTCCAAAAGGGTCCATCCAAATTTGTTAAACAAGGAAAAAAAAAGAAAAAGGTAGTACAAAAAAAAAAAAAAAGGTACTACCACGTGCGACGATAGAAATAGACAAACGTACCAAATATATATCCCGCAGCCCCGGGAGATAGAAGGGAGGGAGGCCTTTGGGGACATCCGTTGAAATTGGAGCGATACAGAGAATTCGCAGCCAGGAGTGGCTGCGTATAGATGGATGCGTTTTGCCCGGTGGCTGCGTATAGAACCTAGCTTTAGGGTCGGGTGGGGACGAGTGCACCGAGGCAGCCACGTTGTCCGGCTGCATTCACAATGTGGGTCGTCGACGGCTGTTGTCGAATGTGTTGTCGTGCAGAGTCGTGCACAACTAGGCCTAAAAATAGGTGTAACTGGGTATAGGGCGTCGACCGGTTACCCGGCCGCTCGTTACATTTGGAGATCGACGGAGGCGGACTGACTGAATCCTTTTGGGAGATCGATGGAGGTGGACTGACTGAATCCTTTGCGAGTTTTTTTGTTGCGAGGCCTGAAAGATAGATGGTCGGTTTTTTTTTTGGGGGGGGTTGTATTGTGTGTATGTTACTTGTGCAGGCAGACAGGTGCGGAACGCATTTCAACATTTTTCGATTCGGGTCTACCTTGTGTGTATCTTATCTGTGCAGGCGGACAGGTGCGCAGCGCGTTTCAGCCTTTTTCGATTCGGGTCTGCGCTGCGGTGAGGAGTTGGGGTGGTACTCTCCGAACGTGCAAAATGAGACTGAATCCTTCGTTAGAACATGGAAAGATACATCGCC